TGTACCCCGGTACATACCTCACTTGATGAGTCTGATGAGTTGATATTTTCATCAAATACATCCTACAAGACAAAACAGAACAATTATATGCACAATATATTGATTATGTATGAGATTTTGCCAATTAGTCATCTGAAATACACTGTCTAAAAATTATGCCACTTACATGTACAGTGAGTGCTGCAACCATGGCGATGACATACTGTAAGCAGTCTTCTTGTGCACCCAGTGCTAACATTTTAGCATATCGTGGCGCCACAGGAAAACATGCCATGGCTTTACCAAGGGGTGTAATATGGCTGGAACATTCAGCTAAACAAGAAAAAATAGATCTATCTATTATTCATCAATAATTCCACTTGTGTTAAAGTAAATAAAATAAAATGGTTGGCAAGTAATATAATAATGATATTTTTTCTCAGCAATCACCTGGATCATAAACTTTGCACAATATTGTTACCATTGTAACTACAATTCGGTTCCATTAAACAAGCTCCCCAATTCTTAACATAAATTGTAAACAAGAACAGCATGCTATTATATATACATATATATATATACCGGGGGCATATAATAAAATTCACCTTTCTTTAAATCTCTAAATCTTCCTGTCTTCAGTGGTGGTTCTAATGCACCCAGGGATACAAGTAACTTTTCAGCAGCCTGTTGTGAATCCAAAAATATGAATAAGAAAATAATCACAACAACAACATTTGCAACCAAATTGTGCAACAATATATATCAAGTTATGTGCCATAATAGAAAGACAAATTTGAACGAATCACAGGGCTTATGGGATACATTTTTGTGCAAAAACAAAAACAATTTTTACAACCACCGAGTATTATGAACTAAATGTTGCCTACCTTCATAGTTTCAATTTCAGGAGGAGTTGGAAATGGGAAGTTTACAACTTTATCAATATTCATATCCTAAAAAAACAAAATAAAACAAATAATAAAAAACAAAGTCCAGCCCATATTTGAGGTGATGTAAATTTATGTATTTATAAAATTACGACTGTGATATGTGAGGATGATCTCACACGAATTGTGGAATTTATGGGAGTTGACAGATAATCACAAAATTTTCAGAAATCCTAATACATTGCGAGTCTCAGAAAGCATGATTTGTGTTCATCTCTGACCACGTCCAAGCAAACAAGGTGATAATCTTGCTCATTTCCTATTCACATATTCAAACACCCAAGCGCCCACTGCTGCGTTCTTTGATGCTATTGGTTAGAACTAAATGTATTTTTGAGGCACACGGAATTAAATTCTTTTCTCATGTTCACAAATCGCAAGCGTTTTCAGTTGATCTTTTTCAATCCCATTCATAAGATGTATAATGTTCTGTGTATCAATGAAAGAAACGTTTGAATGAAATTTTTCCATGCATCCCTAAGATATAAGAACTAAAGAAAAGAGAATTTTGGGGTCATGGGGCTTCCCCTGACCTAGATTCTATCTCTCCATCACCGGCAGAATCGCTGATTAATGCCCACAGTTCAAAATAGTCATTTTGACTGACTGGAGTCTATGATGGGTAATTGAACGTAGTGAATTGGCCAGCATTGAGCAGGTCTCTAATCTAATCACAGAAGAAATCAGCAGATGTAGTTAGAGTATGTTGTTGATTTTGACATTTAAACTGAACACTTTTTTTCATATATTGTGAAAACATGTGGTAATACCAATAAAAAAACATTACCTTCATCTGTAATATCAGGTCATCTACAGGTCGTCTAGTGATCTCTGGCGGTGAGAATTTATCAAAATCATTGGCAAATACAGCTGAGGAATAGAGTCTGTTATGAAATGAAACAAAGAATTGTCACATCTACTGCACTGATAGCTAGAAACGTAGAGTCAGTAATATAATACACATCTTCAGGATGACACCTGAGATTATAATAAACAATCACAAAACACGATGATGTTTTTTTTTTTGAAAGTTTGTATGAACAGACCAACTATTGGGATTATTTGTACCGGAAAACTTTTTATAATTGGTGGTGTACACACAGTGTTTAATATTTATATTATATTTTTCCCAAAAGAGTATCACACATGTTTGTTTTAGATTCAGAGAAAACAAGTTTAATACTATGCTTGCTGAAAGTCATCATGAACACAGCATCAGCAGGCGATACCCGATATCACTATGAAATTAAGTTTCTTGTTTGAGAGAAATATACAACACTGAAGGTCCGTCAATATGTTCAGTTCCAGTGATTGGTTAGCCAAGCAATCTAACACTAACCTGTAGCAGTGACCAGCTTCAGTACGACCAGCACGTCCCGCTCTTTGATTGGCCGATGCCTTCGACGTCCAGGTGATCCTAAAAGCGGACACACCTGTCACTTTATCGTAGTACCTTCTCTTGACCTTGCCGGTATCCACCACGTACTTAATGCCGGGTATTGTCAGTGAAGTCTCGGAAACATTGGTGGACACGACACACAGACGTGTTCCTTCGGGTGGCGGTTGAAATACCTATTGTGCAGATGATATGATATGGTATGTTGGTAATTGTTTAAATGTAAAAACATGAAAACTGGAACTACTATTAATTTACGAACCAAATAAGTAATACTATTAATTAAAAGAAACACTGATTGGACCTGAATGCCCCAAGGGTAGTGGTCTAACAGTTGCAGTTAAGAAGACGTTCAACACATGTATCTTCGCTTAATTTTTAACCCTAGAAATTATTAATTTGAGATATTGTATTAAAACCCATTAAATTCTGTAAAATTTCCTCACATTGTTTATGAACAAGCAGAGGATATAACTAATAATCAGTGAAAAAAATTCCATACAAAACACCCATAAAAGAGTTTTCAGCGAAAATTAATTCCAGCTAAAATAAAGTACATGTAACAGCGTCCGGATAACTTTC